GGGAGGCGTACTCTTATGTTTTGCATGCCTTAGCGGTTAGACCATTGACCACGCGTCCTCGAGAGGACGGAGCATTCCGGGGGGGTGGCTTTTCTGTTTCTGATCATTGGTTTGCTGTCGTTTGCTCCTGCTGATGCGCGCGTGTTCTCATGACTCCGCTTTGCGGTTGGGCCCCCTTTCTTGCTCTGCTCTCCCTTTTGCCCCGCTTGCTTGCTCTATCTTGTCCGTTTTCATGGCGCCCCCCCTGCCCCTTCCCCCTACCGAAACCCACCACACCCACGGCGACAATCACCGCTGCCAACACCTCCATCACCAACAACCAAAAGTCCACGAAGCAGCAGCTCCTTTCGTCTTACCCAGATGAGCGTCCCGAAGAAACACGCTCGTCGGGAGCGGCANCGGCGGCGGCCGCGGCGGCCGCGGGGGTGGCGGCGGCGACAACGGGGAGGGAGGGCGCAGACACCGCTGTCGCCGACGAGGAGGACGCCGACATAGAGAACACCAGGCTGTCCACGGCATGCCAGCTGCTTGGGTTGAGCGAAGGCTTCGAGCTAGACGGTATGGGTTGCATGTAGGTGAAGCGGGTGTTGGCTTTGCAGCGATTGGTATGTTGGTAGGTGCTGCGAAATTCACGTTTGTAGCGTTGGCGTTGTTGGTGCTGCGCGCTGGGAGCTGGGCGCTACGCAACAGCTAGTAGTTTCTCTTCCTGCCTTTGTGGCTCCTGCGGCACGCGCATGCACAGGCACACGCTCCCGCGTGAGCCTCCCGGGGCGGGCGAATCCACAGGTAGATGCGGAAGTTTGATGCGATAGGTTCTTGTTTAAGCCGCGTGGCGAAAACGAACGTGTTCTTCGAGCCACTCTGTCAATTGGACAGCAGGTTTGAGGTCAATTTAATGATATACTGGAGCAGTTTCTTCCGACGTTGACCTTGAGTTGTAGGGGTTAAACCACTCCAGTGGGGTACAACCATTCCAGTATGGATAAAACCGCCCCAATTCCTCAGCCACTCAGCTAAAGAAGCAGTCAATATGATCATCCGCCACCATGTCCACGATAACGGCTCCAGTCGTTCGTACTATTCGACACACACGACCGCCTGCGAAGATACTCAGCGCAGGGACTTGCGGAAGCACCGACCCATCTATCGCCAAAACAGTAGTCTACGCAGCAAAATTGATTAAGCAAACATTTGGGATGAAGTTTTCAATCCGTGCTCTAAGGTTAGGGTTTGGGTTAGGGTTAGGGATAGGGTCTGCGTGCCCCCTCCCTATTCTTGTTCTAGATAATCTTAGAATCCTGCGTAGGTGGTCCCGCCAGAAACAACCACAAACGAACCACAGCAGCGGTCATCAACAATCAGCCACGGCCCATTCTTGCTGATGCTTCTGCCTCTAACCTGCTTCTGAATCGAACCAGCGGAGGAGCTCCAGCTTCTCCTAGACAGCTCTGACGACGACTTCGACTTCCTCGTCCCCACCATTCTCGACGGGAGCTCCACCGGGCTGGAAGGGGCACAGCAGTCAGGGTTGGGAGGGGGGGATGCCTCCGGCGACGCGTGCGGCTCCACCCTGGAGGTGGGTGGCGGCTATGCATCGAGGGAATGGTATCCGTGGACTGCTGCTGTAGGTTGCGGAAGATACCACCCCCCTTGGATCGTTTTAGGTTTGTATCAAGTGGTAAGATGCCAAACCCCTTGGATCGGTTTTTGAAAGCTCGATTACTCCAGGATGTCTAAATCAAGTGATGCGTGTTCGGAAAGCTCTCGACGAGGCCGCCGTTTTCGGCACCATCGCTGCCCAGTGATCGAGCTTTGAAAACCGGTATCGGGGGTGTGGTATCTTGAGCAACCTGAAGTAGATTGATTGGGAGTTCGAATCCCGGCGAGGGTGTCACGCGTTTCGCGCCTGCATTATCACAAATAATAGTGATGGAAAGAAGCGCGTGTTCATGGCGAGGCTTGAGGGAAGGAAGGCCGTGGACTTTTTCGCGGAGGAATCTATCTCTGCGTGACCCGGGATCAGAGCTGTTTGTAGCGGAAAGGCGTCACGGTAGTCAGGACGGCGGGCGGCGTGGTGTATCGCAAAGGGATGGTAGCAAAAAGACACGTCGAAACGCCAAGCAGAAAACATTAGACTGCCATATGCTAGGAGATGGATGGTGAAAAACAAGGATTTATCGTGTAAATGTGTGTGTGCCTGTTCCGTCCCATCTATTCTGTCGCCGTTCACAGGCCTTTCGGCGTATATACCTGACGTATCAGCCGGTATGTGGCAGTAAAAAATATAGTAGCACCGATTCGTTGTTGTCTGTGCGAGGTGATCCTTGTCGTAAGAGATGCAATGACAATGGCAATGGCCACAACGACGAAGGCGAGCAATGCAGGTAGCGCCCGCACCTAACAACCTAGCAGTCACGAAACTGAACGTCGAAAAAACTACATGGAAGCTAAGAACTTGAGAACCATTTTTGAGCACAGTTAAGAACCCCTACACCGAAGCCTATGTAGCGGCCATTTGTAGCCCACAAGAGGAACTACTGCAAGAACCCCACCCTCGGCCGACACTATACTAGAGGTTCGTAAGTGCGGGCGCTAGCTGTATATAAGCAAGTACCCCCCGCCTTTTGCGCCCCCCAGCGCGATGCGAGGTCAATGGTCTAACGACTACGGCATGCACGACTATGAGTACACCCCCCTGCCCGCGCTGCCCCCCCGCCCTCGCTGCCCCCCCTCCCCCCGCGCTCCCGGGACACTTATTCCAGCCGGCATCCTCGCGAATATGGCCGCCGTCCTTGGAGCAAGGCCACTGGCCGTCGGACTACACCATGAGCGACCACGGCTCCCTGACCACTTCGTTCAGAGTGGCGCCGGCGAGGGAAGGAGCGACCTTGGCGCGGGTCTCTGCAAAGCAGCAGCATCGGTCCCCAGGGACCGGGGAAAGTTCCCAGGAAAATTCCGAGACTACTATTGGCAGTGTGCTTTCTGAGGCCATGAGCTTTGACGGCACCGCCCATCACGAAGATGACGACGGACACTACGGGCTGCGCTGACGGTGCCCGTGGTTTGGCTGGTTCGATCGAATCGTGAGTGTATTCTTTGGTGGGAGATGATTGCTACCAAGACTTTTATTTGTTTCGAGCTGCGCTCTGTTTTTTTGAGCGGATGGTCGATGTCTGTTCACGCGGCCGATGCATGCAGTACTCTTGTATTAATGACGGTGTTGGTGTGTTGAGTCGGAAAGTCCGGCACGCGCACGCTGTGTTGGTTTCTTGGGGATTCAGTCTGATTGGGGTGCTGTGTGGGCTTGCGGTTTGATTTTCGTCAGGGCCATACGGTTTGTGGTGGTGGTGATGAGGGGGAGCGGGGGGCGGGGTAGAAAATGAATGCCAATGATCTACTCGCTTGTTTCGCGAGAAGTTGGCAACAAACGGATGCGGTGGACGACTGCGGCAGGTTGATTACGGGCTGTGCGTGCAAGAGGTTCAGGCAGAAATGATCACTTGTGTTTGTTTGCGTATCCGGAGTGTTTCGCGCTTGTTTGCTGCCCTTCCTCTCGAGATTCTGCCCGCCTCTTTCACCCTTCTTTTGACGCTCTTTATGTTTCGAGCTTGGCCGCCTTCGTCCGGTGGACATGTAGTGCCCCCCCCCCCCGCGTTGCTGCTGTTGTTACATGTAGTTGGCAATATTGTCCGGCGAGAACTGGTGGCTTGGATAAGATGAGGGCTCGTTGAGAAGGCCGGGGCTGTATGTCCCGCGTGTTGAGAATGTTCGTGTTATATAGCCCACCGCTTGTAGCTAGCTAGCTGTCGAATAGCTTCCTCGAATTATGTTCACGTTGTGTATATAGAACAGCGAGATGGTGCTCATTCTAGAGCCTGCACGCAGATAGACCCTCACAAGCACGGACGGGAGCCAAACATACAATTGCTATATCTGCTTTTCTTCTTAATTGTTATTTGTTAAAAATTATGAAGCTGGCAGTGTGTGCCTTCGAAGAGGGGCGGGCACACGTCTGGGTGGGGGTGTCGAAGAGAGGTTGCCGGTCTGCCGTCAGGGTGCGCCCGCGCCGCTTTGTAACCAGCAAAACACCGTCAGGTTGGAGGGTATGTACAGTATGTAGATAGATGTAGCGCTTCACGGCGATTCATGCCTGCCTCCACCTGCCGCTTCTCGTGTTTCTACGAAGAAACGTGGAAACGCAACAGTCAGTCTTGCTTGTTGACGGCCTCTGGCCTCTGTTCTTCGTCTGAGATGATTCAGTACGAGTTGGAAGATAAAAAATCTCTTGACTGTATCGAGAGGAGCCATCGACTCGACATCAGCAACAAGAAGAGACATGACCCGTCCGTCCCGGTGTGGTAAAAGCCTCGTCGCCTCGCTGATCACAGAATGAAGCGTGGTAACTCATTTATCAGCTCACCAGCCGCACAAGCACAGCAAACAGCGAGTAGACCGCCACAAAAACGCAGAAGAAAAGACAAGGGAAATAAATCCAAAGAGCAAAGAAAAAAGAGAAGACAAGAAAAAATATTATAACATCACGTCACTACCGGCCCCGTTTACTTGGCTTTGTGCCCACATAACGTGGAAACAAGGAAAAAACAACGGGCAGGCACGATTTCTAACCCCACCCAAGACAAAAAAATGCACGAGTTCATTAGAGCACACCAACAACCCCAAGCTCGAGCATATTCCAACGCCTGCACTAAAGACGAAAGGCGATGATGATGTTCCTAAAAACTTGGTTTGTTTCTTTGTCGTGTTGTGTGGGCGGGAGTCGAAACGGAGTCAAAAAGTGTTCCGTTTCGCCACCACCACGCGACGACATCGAGTTCCGCCACAACACACATTCACTTCGTCCAACTCCGTCCGAAACATGCAGAAACACACACACACACACACAAAGACGAAACACAGCGACCGCGAGTCGGTGCGCCCCCCTTTGTTCCTTCCAAACACGCCAACTCACAACGAAAGAAAGAAAGAAAAAAACTCGAAGAAAACAATGTGCGTGCAACGAAGACCGTGTGAATGAAATGAAGTGAACGGAGAGAGACGCGAACAACTGAGGACGAAGCGAGATATACAAAAGCTTGGAAAAAACTGAAGAAGTCAAATAGCATTCCGACGTACGTATGTATCACGTGCAGATACCTATGCATATGCATACAGACGACGAATCCACGACCAGATCAGATACGGGAGAACGTCCGAGAAAAGGCCAGGTTCAAACGAGAAGTAGCCACCGCCGGCTTTGGGTCGGCGGGTGGGGGGGGAGCATAGAAAGGCCTTCAAGAAGTCTAAAAGAAGAAAGTGGAAGCCTTGAGATAACGATTTCGAGCCACTTCGGGGGATTCACTTAGACCACGTGGTTGCACCAACAAATATGTGTCGGACGGAGACAATTATCCATGTGTGTATCAAAAACAACCGAGCCTAGATCATCTAGAAGTGCGTTTGAGCGCAGCAGCATGGAGGCGGGGCCCACCTAGAATTTTCTTGCTGTACCTTCGTGCTGTCGCAACTGACCACTTAGTTTCTTCAGGTACCATCATCGGTGCGTGAGGACCGAGAGTACAATCTCTCCACTCAGCGCCTCCCCCCACCCCCCCCGGAACATCAAGAAAGAAGGGGAAGACACGCCCATTGCTGGTCGATCTCCCTCTCTCTCTCCCTCTCGCAAAACACAAAGGGCGGGACGCCGCTGGCAAAGAACGGCGCGCACCGCAGCAACAAGACCAAATTCAACAAGCAACGCATGCATTGTGATAAAAGCGCATCAAAACAGACGCGCAACTCTGCTGTTGCTCGGACGGTGTACGGGCCGCACACTATCGGCCGAACAGCGTACATACAAAGCTACGGCTGACAAAGCACGCACGCACGCACGCACCCCCTCCCTCCTTGCCCACCACCGCNGGGGGGGGGGGGGGGGGGGGGGGGGGGGGGGGGGGGGGGGGGGGGGGGGGGGGGGGGGGGGGGGGTAATCACGCTCGTTTCTACCGCCAAGAATATGCCAACAGTATCACACAAGAAACAAGCAAGAGGCAAGACGACACGGGAAACAAGACCAAACTTCTCTCAGCGACATCTCTTTAGGGTCTTCCGCCCGCCTGCTCTCCCCCGCACACTCAAAGCTAATACTAGTCATCACAATCGCGCCGCCTTTTCTTCCAACCCGCTCTCGGCTCCGAAACAGAACCGCTC